CCACGAGCGGCAATGCCACCAGGTGAGATTGGGGAGAGGGGCGGTTGGTGAATCGTCGACAACGTCCCAGTTCGTTCTAATCGAGCAGCACTCGCACTCAGAGCAATGGAACTATTTCGCTTCAAGGGAGTCTCGACTTCTTCGTTGGAAGGGATTTGATCCAGCAGACCGGGTTCTCGACCTTCAATGACGGCGAGTGTGACCCCAAAGAGCCTCGCGGCCATTCTACGGACGATATCTTGGACCTCGAAACCTGGCTTATTGTCTCCGGGTCCCGTCGCCAGCGTTCCGGTGACAGAGGAGGGAGGAACACGATACCAACCCAGGAATTCAAAGGGTTCAGGAGGGGTGGTCCCGTCCCCGACGTTGGGATTGCTGGTGGCGACGGGGAAAAAGAAGCGAGAAGGGTCGCGAAGCGGGTACATGATGCGACTGAGGATGAGGGAGACGTGTTGGTGGTAGATATGGGGAGCATACGAGGCGATTTGAATGAGGATCAGCACCCCAGCCATGCGCGCATGCGGGGCCAAAATCTTTTCCCTTGGTGGACGTGGAGGTGTAGGTTTAGCGGTCGGTGTCGATTGGGCTTGACTGAGTCGGGCGATGGTGAGCTCACGATTCTTGCTCCCGGTCCATTCTCCTTCCACTTCACTCATCAGTCCTACGGCGTGTTGGATCTCCATTTCGCCAACCGTCTCTGCCAATACACCACCTCCGATACGAAAGATGGCTCCATACGTCTGAGAGGCGGCCATCATGACGACGAGGTTGGGGTCTGGGAGGAGGTTTTTGAGGTATCGAAGCAGTCGATAGAGAAGGCTGCGTGTCGATGGCGTCGACGAGGCGGAAGGGTTGGAACTCTGGGACGCAGGTGCAGACGTCGGATGTGCATCGTCAGAGGGGGAAAGAAGGAGTTTATCTGGCAGCCAAGGTCAGACACGCACAAACATGGGAGAAACAGGGACTGGGATGGCAAAACTCGCCTATGGCTGCGATTCCGACGAGCTTTTCTTGCGGTGTATCGCTCGTTGCTGTCAATGGAAACAAGATTTTGTTGATAATCTCCTTCCAAAATGACTCTTGGTCGTCGGATTTGCTGCTCGCCAAGCTGCTTCGGACCTGCAACCGGGAGAGGCAGGGCGAGGGATTAGGTGACGGATTTCCAAGCAGGAAACGAGTATCCACGTACAAAGTCTTGAAAGTTTTGCAATCCCTTTTCGCGCGTGGATTCGTCGCTGGAGAATGAGACGCGTTCTCAATCGTTTGCCGTCGAGTTTTTCTGGTTTCGCCTGCTTGCTTACCTGGACCGAAGCGACGCCAGGATTGTCTCGAACACGTCTGTGCTCGCCATCGTTGGCGATGGAGATGGAAGTGGTGTGGTCCAAGTTGTGTGTGTGTGCGTGTGTGGCGTGCACGCCTTGGACCCGGCTACGATACGACTTCCCGCCTGAAGAGTGGAGTGTCTGCCTCGCCCGCCTCGGTTTCGGATCCTCACTGGCGATAACGCGTATCCGCTGACGTGATTTTGTTCTTGTTTTTTTGTACATCATAGATGATGCCAGAATTCAGAGAAAATTTACGCAACTTTTTTCGTTGGGAGTGACCGAGGTTGGACCCGACCCGAACCAAGCCGCGTTAGGCAAATGCCGAACAGAAAGAGTGAACCGAAGAGTGACCCTAAGAACGACCCTGTTGCGAGTGCGCCCGCGACGGTTCCAGCGAGCTTTGCGCCGTTTTCGTCGCTCGTTCAGGTCGTGTACGCGACGGATTCGAAACGGTTCGTCGTCGTCGCCTATCCGAACAAGATGCCTGCGGGAGGAGACGCTGATGACGAAGAGGATCCGCTATTCGAGCTGTTGCCCGCCATCTCGACGGTCAAAGTGGAAGAGGAAAGCGAAGAGGAAGAGTGCGTCGTGTTTGAAGTTGGAGAGATTGGAGATGGGAGACGCTGGTGGACGGGTAAATGGACGATGAAAGAAGTGAAAGAAGTCGCCGTGAGTTGTCCGGGTGGTTTTGCCACAGCACACAGCATACACTAAGGCCTCGCCCTTTTTGTAGACGGCAACGGGAGGGACAGAGGCGCTCAAGACGATTATTGCGTCGACAGCAAAGAATTTCCGAGAGGGGATGCTGTCCATTGGCGGAACGGCGCAGGGCTTGCACGACTCGCAGACGCAAACGCAATCGTTGTCGACACAGACGCAGACCGACTCTCTGCAGAGTTTTGCCAACGATCCGTTTGTCAGTACGCCGTGTGTATAATGGTAATCATCACTGACATTTGTCCAGTTGCGCATCGATAGTCCGGTTGCAGGGGGGATTCGTCGCATTCGCCTGGTAGAGTTGCCCAAGGAGCAAGCGTGGAGACGGGCCGGAGAAATGCTGTTTGCGATTGCCACGCATGCTTCATCTGCACAGGACGGTCGACTGTTTGTCAAACCGGAAAAGGAAGAAGGAGGGAAGCAGCAAGAAGAGCTAGAAAAGGCGAAGCAAGAAGTGGCATTCCTCAACAACGAGCTGAAAAAGCACGACGAACGTGAGTAGCCGTTCATGTCGACGTGGGTTGTGTTGCGCTGACGAAACGACGACACCGCTCCAGCCGCCATTGCCCCTCCACCGAAACCAACTCCTGGACGATCGTTGGCGAACCCGAGCAAAAAGGCACGCAAGGTCAAAGAAGTCGAGTTTGCCGACTCCGATGACGAGGGAGAGCCGAAGAGGGTCAAGAAGAGGCGGTAGCCGTGGGGAGGGGAAGCCGAAGAATAGCAAAAGGAGGCAGCCTATCCCTATGTACAGTGATATAGTTGTGCAATAGAACGAGTGTCTTTCGTGTACTTGACAGTTGGCATAAAATGAAACGACATCTACTCGCGAGTTCAGAGTATAGGAAGGAGCGGTGGGCGAGGCAGAGCGTCAGCCCTGCCTTGCCCTACCGGTCACCACGGTATGCTAGCAATAGTAAAGTCTGAACGCGGGACAGTACTGCACTTGAACGAGGTTCACTACGATTGGCATCCCATCGAGCCGGGCCGAGCCGTTCCTCCTAATCTGTGTATCTAGCGTTTACAATAACGAGTCTACTATCATACTAGACATGAAAGAATAGCCAGAAAACGCTTGAACGCCGCTCAAACAAACGCCCGAGGCCGCTTTGGGCACCGGAGACGCCCCTGAGCAAAAAGGAGCGACTAGCCCGATGCGGGGGTCGAACCCGCAACCTTGAGATGACCTTTCCTCCTGAGGTAAAAGTCTCACGCTCTACCGATTGAGCTAACCGGGCATTAGTACATGGATTTATGGTATATCAGTATCATTCTCCCATTTTTCCTGATTTATTTTTTCCCGCGTGCTGCCGCACGCGCATTGCGAGTACGGCCTATCGGCCGTACTCTCTCCATACCTGTCACACACCCTCTCACATCTACCCTACTCAGTTACTCTTCCTTACAGAATGGTAGTCGTGGTCATAACAAATCGAATGCATCATGGCGGGTCACGGGTGTGATCGACCCTTTCGACCCCGACCATATTTTGGCACACCACAATCGATGCAACAATTCGATCAATCACGCTACAATGGATTTTTTCACCATTGACCATGCGTAAAAATCATCACTAATGGCCGCCGTTGACCACCTCCTTCCAACATATATATTCCGTATCAACACTCGCGTGGATATTGGACGACTCAGGCAGTCCAAACGACACCGTCAGCTACTCCTGTCCGCTTGCAAAAGCAATCGCGCAGCATCTCCTGCACTCGATCGCCCTGCAAACAAGAGAAACGTCGGGATCATCATATGCACACCGACAACGGGTTGCGAATACGGCAGACGCGTGGATATTGGACGACTCCAAGTCACTCTATCCGCATGGAATCGACATATACTCCCTTTCTATCACAAAATCTTTACAAAAGTGAGTCCCAGGACATCCAATCTCAGTCTTTTCTTGTCTATTCTTTCACCGTGAGGAGGCAGCTCATTTCGATTTCATCTTCATAATACAGGTTAGGGGGCATCGTCTGGTCAAAGCGACAATCTGGCGCTCTCATTTGGCGATTGCAAACAAGTCGACGCGCCAGTCGAGACGTGCGAGAGAGCGCTTTGCAGACTATGGGGCGCGTTTATAATGGATGGTTTATACGTGTAGCTTACCCCTTATGCCCCCTTAAACCGGCTTGACTCTTCCTGAAATTACTGCGCGATGTAAGGTCGGAGTAGTGTCCTCGACGCACGGCAAGGAATTCAACCAAGCATGGCCAGCGAGGACTCGCGTTGTAGCGTCCCACTAGGCAGAGGTTTGCAAGTAAATGCTGACATGATCGACGCTGCGGGTATTTAAGGCAGCAAACACGTCGTACTTGTAGCTTGGAACCCGCCACTCTCTCCCCTCCCTCTTGTTTGTCGACTGTGATTGTAATCAACTCTCGTTTGGCTATATAATCGACTCTTTATCACCTGTAATCCCTAGAGTCTTTCTCCGGTTCTTCCTCTTCCGCTCGTCGTCGCCTTCGACCACTCGCTCATCGTCGTCGAACGCGTGGCAATCACCCGTCCCTCATCCCGTAGCTCAACAAACGGTTTGTTTCATATCCTTATACTCTTATCTCGTCGACTAATTATCAATTATGTTTTTTGAACTGATTTTTTTCCGGGTTTTCCATCTCTCAGACCTTCTCATGACTCTCCTCCCCATTCCTGGCACGTACTAAATCTACGCCTCTTGTCGAAAAGCAAGGTGAGTTTGGGCGCGGATTTGTTTCGACAATGTCGCTCATGCCTTTCCATCCTTGCAGCCTCGAAAGCAACCCCACTCCCTCCCCACCCATTCCGCCTCCGCTCCCACTCTCTTTTGTTTGAAACTTACACCTATCGCCTTTTAATCGCATTCTAACTTCGATTTGGACCAAACTACGACCACTAGAACGGAGCCTTTACGGTTTGAACCATCCTCTTTCGTCGTCGTCGCCGTCGTCTTCATCTGGTGACGAGGTGCAGCTGGTAAGTCCCCAATCGGCCCCTCCCCTTTCGAATTTGACGTTAGTCTGACACACTGCGCTCTTTCTAGGCCGACTGTTGAGCGCATCTGTGCCTGACATTTGGAATCCAAGACGGCCACTCAAATCGAGCCGCAGGTGAGTCGAGCACAAATACGGAATATGACCCTCACTCATTTGCATCCCCTAGCACAATGGAACACCTGCTGGAGACCCTCGACCTTGACCTTCCCAACCCGTTCAACGGGATCGTGCCCGCCGATATTCCCAACCCGATTGCTTTCAGCACTACGGCACTGCCAGAGTCGCTAGCAGCTGCTTACATTGCAAGCAGACTAGAAAGGTGCTTCCAGAAGGTGGCATTGATCCGGTCAATCTCCCAGGATGCGCTCCCACCAGAAGAAACGTCTGCAAAAATCCTCGCCATCTCGCGCTCCTCAGAGGCACTCCCGCCCATAAACATCGATGAGAGCTTTTTCGGTGTGTCCAACCTCGACACCGTGCTCGATTTTGTTCTCAATTTGGCTGCAGATCCCCTCTGCATCGACGTCGGAGCTTACACGGTGGCGGGCGCCCTTCACAGGGTATCCTACACTCCCAAAGTGCGTGGTACTATCCAGTATTACGTGCGGGAATACCCCCTCTCGGATGAATGTGTCTTTGTGCACCAGATGAAAATGTACGCCTCGCCTTCCCCATGACTCTTCTTGGGCTCTCTCCTGTTTCGTCGTCGCCGGATATTCTCTTCATGTTTATTAGTGAGATATACAGGCCCTAGAAAGGTCGAACATTTTCGTATGGTGCCAAGTGGCAGTGCGGACTGAACC